TGTTACTGAGACAGTGTTAGGAAGGAAGATCATTCAAAGTTGTCTTAAAAATCTCAGGAGAATGTTAGCAATCGCCATAAAAAAGCAAGAACCAAACAAGCAGCCCAGCATTCTGAAATTACAGACTCAATAGGTTATCCTAAACATGTACAGAAACAGCTGCTTTACACCAAAACTTTGAGAAACTGCATTATGGGGTGATATAGGACCACCATCCAATGGCTGAAAGTATTATAACTGTGTGGACTTCAACATAATAGTATAATTTTGCCACCTGAGAAATAGGTGATGGGTTTGGACTCTCTCAGAATTTTTAAGGAACGACACAGCTTTGTAGCCTGCACCAATAGACCAAAGTAGTTGCTGTAAGAAGTGGAATTAGAGATGCTTAGTTTTTGCAAGATTCATGTTTTGTAGCTGGCTTCCCTGGAAATAAACTGAAGACTTTTTCCATTTTGAGGATCTTCATACTGTTTCTCCTTTGTAAGGATTTCTAGTCCAGGTCAAGCTCCCACTGCAGGCTATGGCTCATGGAAAAGGTCTACTTTCACAAAAATTGTAGGAAGATAGTAAGACTGCCACCCCTTACCAGACTGTTAAAATAGGCAATTGGTTGTCAAGAAATGACTATGGTTACCAATGAAAGAAGATAGGGAGGATAGAAAATACATCCACATATGGAGACAGAATGCTGGAGTGTTTCCCTGGAACACCAGGCTGGACACATGGAAGCAGATTTTATTGGCAGTTGCTCTTACCAGTTACTGCTGCTGAGGTGTATGATCCAGCTGCTAGCTGCTTGATCTTGTGCTGGCTGGTGAAAAAACTTACTAAATGAAATGTGGTCCTTTCTTCTGTGTCACCTAATCCCAGCTGACCTTCACTGTTACCTCCAGCAGCATACACATTTCCTTTTTCTGCATACAGAAAAGCACATGTAACACGCAGAATGAAGAAACTGGGGCAAGTAATTTAATTTTCAATGGAAAAACATCACAGAAGTGTTGGGTCTACTGTCCTGAATTACTCCTGAATTGACATTAGCAGTTTCTTTTGTAGCTAACAAGGAGGCCTTCCTGCACACACTTGGATCAGAACTTCCTAAAAGCCTTACATGTAGTTAGACTGTCTGCATTCCTTAATATTCTGAAGATTAACCTAATAAATAAATATAATTTGAAGTTTCTGCAAGAGTTCTGAGGAAATTACTACCAGTAACCCTGGCAGCCAGAAGCAGCTTCTTCCACAAATAATGTATATTTTAAGATAAAATTAAAGGAAAATGGTGAATTAAGTCACAGACAAGAAAACTGGAGCTGTATTAGTACATAAATTAAACAGATTAATAACTTGATAGTTTTGAGTACTGTGAATGAAATATATTTTTAGTTGGTTTTTTATTAGAAATATTTTACTCATTTTAATATTCAAATAACTTTCAATTTAATTAACTATGTATTTTGTTTCATAATCTTAAAATTTAAATTAGCGCTGACAACTGATATCTTCAACTTAAGAGAATTTTAAGATTTATATTTTTAATTTTAGTATGTTTCACATCTAAAGTGCTCATCTATGATGAAACAGATACGGCCCATCGTTAACACAAATCCAGACAGAAATGTGATAAGAACTGACATTCAATTTATAAATGGTCCTTGCTATATACCTGGCCACAAACGATCTGGCCAATATGTACACCAAAAGTGACTAACATTTACCCTGTGCAGTCTTGCATACTCCACTGTTATTAAAATGTTCTTTTTATTCTAGCAGTCTTATTTACAGTGCTCAGCATCTCCATGCATATAAAACTCCTAATAATCAAACAATCCTCTTTATAACATTACTGAAAGCTAAAGGATTGCAACCACAAAGATGGCTATTTTGTTACATAAATTATAGAAGCACGACAAGAGTTTGCATAAATTCTCTGGATACTGTCTCTCTACAAATTTATTTTTACGTTTAAATTTACACTTTATTTATTTATAGCTTAATAAAGCAACTTGTCATTGAAGTAGCAGACTACATTGTCTAAACAAAAATGCAACAAAATTTGAAGACTTGAAAACATGCAGTTCTACTATATTTACTCAAATATATAACTTCACACTAATAAATATTACTTGTCAAAGGTAAATTTGGGAACAGATGTATATAAAAATAATAATATACTTTTATAGGGCTTAAATGAAATACTGACAATTGTTACCCACACCACAAGTGCCAGCAAGAAATTTTTCCCTATGTCTATTGCTGGCAAACTGCTATATAACATTAGTTTATAAATGCCTCAGAATTATTATTGCCTCAGAATAAATCAAACATTCTAAGAATTGGATGTCAAAACCCCAAGTTTTAGCAGTCCCATTTTCATTTATTTTTCCTTCCTCAACAGTCCTGGAGCTCCTAATCTGATTTTGCTTGAAAGCAAGGGAAGAAATTTATTTTTAATATGTATACAATATAGATTACATACCTGTGTAAACTAAAGTGTGATTTCTTCCACAAACAGCAAGTTTTGGTTTTTCTGGTTTTAAAGCTATGGATTAAAGTGAAAGGGGGGCAAAAATTATAAACAAGCCAATAGGTGTTTCAACAATAAACTGCTCTGTGTTCTAGAGGGAGCTCTGAATGGTAAAAATATTTCTTGCCTATTTGAACCTGGCATGACTTACTAAATCAGTATTCCCCCAAGATAAGAAAACAGATCAGACCTTAATAACTTAAGACACCCAAGTTAACTTGACAATGTTTACTTCGACCCAATTCCACAGTTCCTGGAATTTACCATTTACAGGATATGCCTCAAAGAATACATCAAGTTGCAGGGTAAAATGCATGTTTAAAGTCGTCTACATTTTTCATTAACTGTTCTATTCTTAACTCCCTCTTATACTTCCCCCACTATCTTAAATCTTTAAAACCATACTGTTCTTTTGTCTTACCCTCCCTTTCTAATGCACACATCCCTTTTTTGCTAGACTTTTACTCTGTACTGCCTTCTTACTGATCACTAAACTCAATTCCTAAGGACAGCCCTATCCGGACTAGTGCCTACATTTTTTGCATGTACCATCCTGTCTCAATTTCAGCTCAGTTACCACCCACCTGTTGCAAGTATTCTCTGCAGTCTGGTCATTTTGAAAGACTGGGAATGTATGTGAGAGGAGTCAAGAGTTATTTTGGTGGGAAAAAAAGAATACAGAGGTGCCTCCCACTTAGGCTAATCAATTGTATTTGATGAGATGTGTTGTATTTACAGTATTGTTGGCAATTTTTCATAACCAATTCCATTAGTCTCTAGTCAAATCCCAGGAGATATTTTCTCAGAAAACATCCAGTCACAACCATCTGGCTTCAAGCAGAAACTGAAATGTGTCCTTGTAACCCCATTCCCAAAGCCAAGTGATGACCAAAGGCTAGTGAGAAAAGCTCAAGGACTTTCTCCTGCTGCCAATTGCCAAGAGAAGAAAGATACCCCCCTTGTGACTTTTTTCAATGGATGCCAGGTCTGGTTTGAATTGCTGTCATCTTCTCTTCATCTTTTATTCTCCATTGCAATTTGACAGTAAAAACAAAACTTGACACCCAATCCATTTAAACCAAGGTAAGAATCAATCTCTCACATAGCTGACAGAAGATGTGAACCTGACAGTAGCTGCATTCTCCCTCTGAAG